TTAACACACATCCTGCTGATTTCCCTTACCCCCAGAACATCTGTCACAGACACTGGTAGAAGCTAACATCATCTCTGGTAGCAGACAGTCTTCTGCTTTTCAGAGACATCAGGTGTTTTTATTGGTTCCCTTTTGTCTCCCAGGGAAAAGCTTCTCTGATTCAAAATATAATAGAGGCAAAGATAATCTAAGTATTTGGTAAGATAAAATGTACTTCTTCTGAGCAGTAGTTTTGATCAGGCTCATGTATCTCCAGGAAGTATTGTTAATGTAAAGGTAGCTAATGTGAAGCTTTTGGAAAGTAATGAAATGTGGGCTAGTCTCCATCTGTACGAGACATGGAGGGAACCGATTGCCTGTGTACTCGTGCAGCCCAAGCAAAACCTGACAGCTGGACAAGTGAACATCTACTGAACTGAAAAAAAACCATCACAAATAGTAGAAATTTTAAATTATTAAATTTGCACGTATTTAGATTTGGAAAGATCAGCTGAGAATCTACCTTATGCTGACTGCTTTGGCCATATATTTGTGTGTATGTAAATGTGTATATGTACATATGTACAGTCCCTGCATAGGCTTAGAACTGGAAGAGATGCTTTAGAAGAGAAAAATAAAACTGTCTTAGGCAAACTCTGAGATCAGTATTCAGTGGCTTTACAAGGGGGGGTTATTCTCATGAGTAAGAGTTGCAAAGTGGAACTTGTGTTTTTTTTCTCTCACAAGCCACGTTGGCAATACGGGATTTAAGTGTAAATGGAGACTTAAAACTTGCTATGAAAAATTAATACATTGAATGCTGGACAATCTGCATTACAAAAAAAAAAAAACTCAAAAAAACCCCAAAAACCCCAAACCCCACTAAAAAAAGAGTGGGCTAGAGAGAGGCTGTGCTGGAATGGATTAATGACTTTTAGGTTTTCTGACAGGATCTCAAATAAAGAGCAATTTATGGAATACATAAATTGTATTCCATGTATTATGTAGCATTAGACTGCTTAATATTTCTCATTAGAGCTATAATAGACTGCACTCGTGAATGTGGCGTCAGTGAGAATTGCTTCAAAAGAGACAAATGCCTCAGCCAAGCAAATAAGACCTTCCTTGGATTCCATGGTGAGAACAGGAGCCCCAAACCTCTCACTGCAGGTATTCTTGAAAAAATACTTGCTGTGATGGGATGTTGCAGTGATTCTCTCCCTGTGCAATGAGAAGTTGCACATCTGTCTTAATGTTCCTCTGGATACCGTCTTAAAGCCGTGATTGAGGGAAGATGTTCTGATCTTCTGTAGTGACCTGGTGGCTTTGCAGCAGAAGGTCAGGGCAGATTTACCCTAACTTGCACCACTGGCTGAATGAACCCATTTGCCCTAGAAATGGAGGAATGCTGATGCAGCCTTAGTGTCAACAAGCTATCAGCCTGTTCAGGGGTCTCATTCTTTTTAGTTACTTTTGACCCTGTCAACTAAGTAAGTTGTGAAGCATTACTACTCCAGGCCAGGATTTGCACTCTGAATACATGTAAGTGACTGCACTGAGCAGGAAATCTGGATTCAACTCCTCAGACAAAATAGTTCTGCTGACTGTGTGAGTGAGACCAAGAGGATATGTTTGGAAGTCATTTATTTGCAAAGAAAAGTTTTCTAAATGCCTTGGGTCTATGAACACTATGCCAAAATGTTCCTGTGACCAGAATCTTCACATGCCACCTATTTCCAAAGGGAAAGGGAAATCTCTGTGAGCAGCCTGCATCAGGGACAGCCGCTCACCACTGCAAAATGGGCCTGCACTTGTCTTTGACTTGCAGCCAACCTACTGATGTCAGGTGTGGGAGCACCAGCTGGCTCACTTCATCCAACATCTGGGTTCAGACTACCCACACTGGCCATCTTCATGGTGGAGCTTTGGTGCAGGAGTCGCGCTTGAACTACTTAAGACCTATGTGCGACTCAAGAGCCACCTGCACATCAGCTAAGATTTCAACCATTATTTTATGTCTTTGATCTCTCATTTTCATAGTGCTTCATTTCTGTCTCCACTGCAGGTATTTCAGTTCTGTATGATGAAAATGTGACTCATACAATTGCCATTCCCCAGCCCTACCTGATTACACTCCTCTGTGATTTGCTCACTAGCTATATCTGATAAACAACACAACAGGAAGACAAAGAGAAGCATAGTTCCAAGGGACACTTCTGCCTCAGGAGAGTGCTGCTAGAAGGCGTGCTCCCTTGCTACACCTGGGCAGGCTCTCATCCTTCTCCTGGCCTACTTGGAGAGGTTTGGTTGAAAGTATGCTACGTGTAGTGACAGTAAAAGATCTAGAGGGATCTGCGTTCTGGGTCAGCAAATACACTACTGAGCTATCTTAGTCATTGAGCTGCAACTTTGATTGCACTGGTAACACAGCTGTGCCATCATAAGACACCTGAGAGCACTTTAGTGATTCTATAATCACCAGTGGCAGGCTAGGTCAGTAGTCTCCAGACAGTTTGGACCACTGGATTGTGGTCAACTCTCAAAACCTGTGGTATCCTGTAATTAAAATTCTACTTGAAAACATGTTTTCATATGGTTCTGCAGAGCCCATACCACTGGCTCATGGGGCACAGTAAGGAAACCACTGGCCAACATACTTTTTCAACTGTAAGTAACTCAGGCACCTTTACAGAAGTGGGGAAACCTTTAGCTAAGCCTGTTCACCTCTCTGTGTGTGAATTAGTTTTCCAATGGTAAACTGTGGATATTAATATACATTAAGTGTGCAAGACAACTGCTAAATATTCATAGAAATTATACAGCTGCTGACCTAAAGCACCAATTTAAAAGGACTTGTAAATAACCTGAAAAGAAGCACAGTGCTAGACCCATCCTTAACCAGTTATCTTAGAGACAAGAAATACTCTTCTTTATGAAAAGTGAGTTTGATACTTACACCTCCTGTTTCTCACATGTGGCTGCATACTGTTAATGGTAAAAACCTGGTAGGCAGGAAGTTTCTGAGGTCCCTAAAGCAGAAAGCACAGGCAAAGAGCTTACTGCAGATCTAGGACAGAAACTCAGTTATCACTCTTTTAATGGTTTTGATCTCAAAAGAGTACTGCTTTATGTTTAACCAGGGATGCTAATATGGCTGTTTGTAAATGAAAGTATTTTTGTACTTAAGGGAAAAGATAGTGAAGGTAGTGTTTGAGTGGATGTCTGTTCTGAGCAAATGCCTGTTAGTTAAGATAGTAGGTAAACAGCACTGTAATCAAAGGACTTAAACTCTTTTGAAGTTGCTGAGGAAATATGTGACAAATATCATCAAGAATGCAGTTCAAAGGGTACCAGTTCCTATCTCTAAGGCACACACACACAAGGCCTGATTCTCATGTTACTTGTATACCTGGCTTTGGCTGAACCAAAGGTACTCCGCTGTCAGAAACCAGCAGTGGGTAACTGTTCCTGCTTTCTCTGGGATGATGAGAAAAGCTGACCCTGTGTGACCAGGGCAAAAAAAGACCCTGAAACAGGACAGAAAGAGGCCATGAAAGATAAGGAAGTCAACAAGGTGACCAATAAAACATTTGAGAGAAGAAACAACACTATTGCTTTTAGAGATTTTGCTCTTGCCTTGTCCCTTTGATATCTTCTTCTCCTTTACTTTTCCTTTTCCCTTTGAGATTCACAAAAACCTGTTCCAATTTGACCAGTTAAATGGCGTTGAATATGGGTTGTCCTTGTATATATTTATAATTAAACTGCACTGAACTTTTAGCTACATTCATAGTTTCTTTCATTGTCTGGTTGGGCTTTTTGACCTACAGAATCACAGAATGGTTTTGGTTGGAAGGGACCATAAAGATCATCTAGATCCACCCTCCCTGCCAAGGATGGATGTCCCTGCCAAGGGCAGGGACACCTTCCAGTAGACCAGATTGCTCAAAGCCCTGTCCAACCTGTCCTTGAACACTGCCAGGGATGGGGCAGCCACAGCTTCTCTGGGCAACCTCAGCAGCCTCACAGTAAAGAACCAAATATTTAATCTAAATCTAATATTGTCTCTAAATCTCCCCTCTCTCAGTTTAAAGCCATTTCCTCTTGTCCTATTACTACATGCCCTTGTAAAAAATCCCTCTCCAGCTGGAGAATGTTTTTAAGAACACTTAGTTGTGTCCTTCACATGTATAGGTAACAGAAAGGAGTGTAAGGTGTAAACAGTTTCACAGAATCAAGGTCTACACTTATTCTGATTCCTGGGTTGTCTGGAAGACTCCTCAAAGGCAGCTGACTGAGAAAAATCAGACAAAGGCAGTAACACTTGGGATGGAATACCGTGGGCCTCCACTTACTTTTACATGGGAGTTATTCTCAATACAGCTTCTTGGGCAGCAGTATCTGCATAACGAGGACCCTAGACTCTTATAACGATGGCCATCCTGGTTGGGTATCTTTGGCAGGATTACAGACTGATCAGATGTATGCACCAGCATCTTCTGGCTGCATTTACAGAGGCCTTGCTGTAGGGGTCATTAGTAAGATCAGCAGACTGTCCCCTTCAAGTTAAACCATCCTTTTGGTCCAAAAGTCAGTTCTGTCTTTTGATGGGAAGCATTGCTGAAGCCAGTCTTAGCAAGGATGTGCTGCTACTTTTTACTGATGCAGTTATACTGAGATTAAAGAAAAGACCAGTTTTCATGACTTTTTACAAACACTGACATGATTAGGACAAAATTAAACCAGTTGAATTTCAGTGTGTTGCTGTTTGACATGCTTTCTCTCTTATGACAGCTGATACAAATCCAGGTCTTTTTCTCTTAAGAATACAGAATATTTGCTTTTATTAGGATTCTTTAGAATGCAATGATAGTTCACCAAAAATAAAACCACCACCACTGACTGTACAAGCATATTTGTACTTAATGGCTTTTTGCAATAAGGGGTCTAAAACAAAAAAGATAGTATAAAAGTAAAACCAGATAAGATCTTGAGAGAAAAACAGCTAAACTGTTTATGTAAGAGGAAATAAGTATGGTGGCTGAGTTTTAACACAGGATAAGTCTAAAGTGTCTGTTAGTGGATTACTGAGAACAACTGATTATGTTAATGTTATTAACTCTATGTAGAGTATTAGGACTATTTAGCATTAAGTGTGTTTCAAAGACAAGGCCCTGAGGAACCTGTAGCTTTGAAGTTGGACCTGCTCTGAGAGGAGAGTTGAACCAGGTGATTTTCTTAATGATTAATGCTCTAAATTTTGATTTAATGATTTTAAATTATTTTATTGCTCTAAAGCATTAGTAAAACTAGGCTGCTTTTATTAAAATATTTGCCCTATTAGTGTCTGACAATATTGTCTAATGATAGAGACAGTGCAGGTGTGATGGTAAGTTACAAAAAGTTATCATCAATAAAGTATAAAAACCAAAACCAATGGCTGTATTTTATAAATGTGTGTGCAATTTGTGAAACATAGAGAAACAGTTTAAGTGTGAGGAGGTGTTTTTGTAAGATCTCTATATGTATGTTACTTGTCTTGCTCCTATTAACGCAAAGATATTGCATATATGATTCTAAGTAAACCTCAACAGGTTTTCATATTGCATGCACTTATTAGATTTTTACATTGTTATTTTTACTATGCAAGCCTCTAGTATTTCCTAGAACTTAAACAATGTTATATTGCAATTTAAAAGTTAAATTTACTTGAAGAATAGGTATTTAACTGGCTATTCTTATGTGAGTCTACAAGAACTTACAGAAAAAGGACCTTTAGATATCTTTAAGTATTCTTTTATTTCTGTTTTTCCAGACAACATGACTAGTAATTACTGTGTCAGATGTAGTTTCTAAATAGTCTGCACTTAAGATGCCATACTCAAAGTAATATATTTGGTGCGAAATTTTAACTTTCACAATATTTTTCTGTCCCTGTTTGAGTCCAGAAATGTGAGCTATGCAAAACTTAGATATTTACAGCTGATAATGTGTAGTTTCTGGCATGGGTTCAGCCTAGGTCCTTAGTAACCAAAAGTTGTTACCATCTGATTATAACAAATTTCCAAAATGAAATGAGTCAGTCTTCTGAAAGCAGACATGGTCTCATAAATAAATAGATATGTATATACAAATACTTATGAAATGTATATGCAATATAGTATTTATAAATAAATATTTCACTATATACACACCAGCACAACTGAAACAAGTCGGCATACTACTTACTATTTTCCTACCCTTTTACTTCCCATGAGTGTAGTGCATCTTTTAGGTTATAATCTTAAAGTGGGTATTCCAAATATTCTTGGCTTCCCAATTGAAATTAATAGGAGTCTTGCCCTAAATTCTTTCATTTTAATCAGTTAAACTTTCTTAGTAAACTAATTTTCTGTGTTTAATTATAAGATCAGATTGTATTAATCCCATATTCTCCTGTTTCCTTGATTACAGGCATCCATCAGTACTAGGACATTTCATTCTGGAACACTACAGAAACAGCCTCCCACACAATAAAGCACGGTAAGACTGAAAACAAGGTTTGTCTTTACCCCTAAACTCAACTGCGAAGGTAGGAAGAAATTGGATCATACAGAATTCACGAAAATTGCAGTAAGACACATGTTTGCTTACTGTGTTTGTGTTCTTCCATGGTGTCATTTGGATTGATGGTTCTGCTAAGGATACCAATGTGCTTTCTTCGGTGAAGATCATAATTTTTATATTTTAGATCAACTCTTTTGTTTGTGCAGTTTACTTTTGATTCTTGGGAGCTTTCAGTACTGGAAAGTATTATTCCTAAAGAGACTTTTTATCTTGCAGCCCTAGTGAGTGTGAATCCAGTATCACTTACTTTAAGGCAATAACAAACATTGCAAGATCAGACCCAGAATCCAGTGTAAACCAGACAAATGAACCTGCCTTGAGTCTGACAAATAGAAGCACTCAAAAAGTCCTTGTACTCAGGTTTTTGTTACATAGCCACATCAGTCCAATGTAATTTGCATAAATAAATATTAGTGGAGGGGTAGTCCTCCTGGTCTCCCATGCAGTTCTCTTGTTGCAGAACCAGGCTGTGTGTGAGTCAGCACATGGTTGGGGAAGTCATAAGTGAAAGGTGCCCATTTTCATATTTGGTTTTGCATTCAGGATGCCTGATGCCAGCCGTTAGAGACAAGCATAAATGAGACAGCAGCAGGTTTTGGGGGCAGTATGGATTTATGTTGGACTAAACTGACCACACAACTATGGCCTCAGAGGGATCCCCCAGAGCATATATCTGGTGCAGGAGCTGGTTATCAGCACATACAGCCAACACTGCCACTGGCTTTGTACAGCAGCAATTCCCACTTAGTGAGACAGTCCTCAGACAGCACTGGCAGCAGGTATTAATCAGCATAGCCTTTGGGATGCTGCAATTTATAAGGCTCAGACTGATACATTTCATCCCACAATGTTGTTCAAAAGCAACATGTAGTGTTTTTAAGCCAAATATCTTTGAAAAGAGAAAACAAGTAAACAAATTACTAAGTGTTTTGGGAGTGGGTGGATGCAAATGAATATGAAAGCTAAGTGACAAGGAAGAAAACCAAATAAAAATACATCAAACTACGTCTACTAGTTACTTTTGTTTCAATGAAGTAGTTCTCTGAGGCAGTTTCCCTGAACAGCAACAATCTTTCTATTCCATTTGGAAAAGGAAAACATGGAAAAACTTCACAAGTCAAGGGAAAAAACAAGCAGCAACAGACAGGAAATATGCTGTTAAATGTACGAGTTTGAATTTTTGGTCATTTCTTCCACAAAGGGCCCTCAGTAGTCACACATTCCTCATTTCTAAATGTTAAACTTTCTTAGAATCATAGAATTGTTCGGGTTGGAAAGGACCTTAAGATCATCTAGTTCCAAGCCCCCTGCCTAAAACCGTATCACCCAAGGTTCTGTCCATCCCAACCTTGAACACAGCCAGGGATGGAGCATTCACAACTTCCTTGGGCAACCCATTCCAGTGCCTCACCACCCTAACAGGAAAGAACTTCTTCATATATCCAATCTGAACTTCCCCTGTTTAAGTTTTAACCCGTTACCCCTTGTCCTATTACTACAGTCCCTAATGAAGAGTCCCTCCCCAGCATCCCTATAGGCCCCCTTCAGATACTGGAAGGCTGCTATGAGGTCTCCACGCAGCCTTCTCTTCTCCAGGCAGAACAGCCCCAACTTTCTCAGCCTGTCCTCATACGGGAGGTGCTCCACTCCCCTGATCATCCTCGTGGCCCTTCTCTGGACTTGTTCCAACAGTTCCATGTCCTTTTTATGTTGAGGACACCAGAAGTGCACACAATACTGCAGGTGAGGTCTCACAAGAGCAGAGTAGAGGGGCAGGATCACCTCCTTCGACCTGCTGGTCACGCTCCTTTTGATGCAGCCCAGGATACGGTTGGCTTTCTGGGCTGCGAGCACACACTGAAGCCAGCTCATGTTCATTTTCTCATCGACCAGCAAGCACCCCCAAGTCCTTCTCTGCAGGGCTGCTCTGAATCTCTTCTCTGCCCAACCTGTAGCTGTGCCTGGGATTGTTCCGACCCAGGTGCAGGACCTTGCACTTCTCATCGTCAAACTTCATGAGGTTGGCATCAGCCCACCTCACAAGCGTGTCAAGGTCCCTATGGATGGCATTCCTAAAATGTTGAAATCTTGAAGGTGGTGTGTTTTTTTTTTTCTCATTGTCTGTCTTGGAAATTGGGATTGCTCTGCACAGGAAAATAGGAAGAGGAATGCAGAGCATGGAAAACAGTTGACATCCCTATATCTTGTCCTTGTCTCTAGCTCCACAGGTGGCAGGGTGAAGAGCTTTTCCTTTGGCCCACACAAGATGAGAGCTGATTACCAGTGCTAAAGGAACACAGGACTGGTCCAACTTTTCACATTCAAGTAAGCATCTAATAGGCATCTACTTCAAAAGGCTCCACAAAACGTTTAATTCATAAAACTGGACTACAAACCAGGTTTTCAGCATCCTGTAACACAAAATGCCTACACAAAAAGACTGAAAGCTACAGCTGTAAAAAAAAAAAAAAAATAAAATAGTCACAAGAATGAGGTCAGGAGAGATTGGGCACTGCAGAGATGCTAGGTTTTTGCAGTAGTGGACAGTACATGACATAAAGTTCCAGCAAGAAACATTCCACTCTCTCTTACAGAGAAGGAAATAAAACTTACATAAACTTAAAGTAGTTCTTCCAAAATGGATCTGAAAGACAAATTCCTCCTGGGCCTCAACTGCCTAGGTGAGCATCCACCTAGCATTTGCAGATCAGAGTTGTGAGGAATCTCAAGGGTAAACATCTACTTTCAGACAATAAGGTAGTTTTGTATAGTTTCCATCAGAACAACAATTGGTCAATGTATCCTGCTTTTTGAAGTTTTTCATCTTATACACTCTCAACTCTCTTCACCTGGATCTTTCTAATTGAATTCCTGTAATCCATTCTCATCTTAATGCTGTGTTCAGGATTCTTTGGCATTTTGGATTTTGTTTGTAGGTGTGACGTGAATCACTTTAATGGAGAATGATCCAGACGGCATGCATGTAGCAGGAATAAAACTTCATGTGCAAACTCTGCAGCATGAGGTTATGTTAACAACATGTATTTCAAGAATTATCCAATGATAATAATCTAAATGCTGATTCCAAAATCCTGAATAACCCAGAGAAGATCTGACACAGGAAGACCACAGGCTACCTGGCTGAGGGAGAGAGGCAGTCTGCAAGAAGCACTAAGTGATGGCAAAGAAAAAATTTGGCAAATAGTCAGGAAAGATCTTACTTGCAAAAAACCCCAGTCCTTTGGATCATGACAGCCAGGTCATGACTGATACACAGGCAGCTGCAAAAAGCCATCTTAACAGCAGTCTAACCAGCTATGCAGACAGTGATTTCACACCTGGGTGTGAGTTGGCACAGCAAGCCCATGTCACTTGTGTACAAAGTATGATAATGTAGAAGTAGTCAGCACAGTGCTGTGCTTCCAAAATCTTGTAGATGAGCTGTATGGGATATTATTGAGACAGCATAGAGTCTATTACCCCTGCAACTGCTTCTTTGAGCTGTTCCTCACAAATCTTGCTTATGTTCACCCATTGGCGGCATCAAGCAGATGTCTCATGCAGCTGAGAAAGCAGTTCTGAGTTCCAGGCAGAGCAGATGGCAAGTCAGTTTTAAAGGTTCCATTTAAAAGACTAACATAATGAAATGAGACTATATGGCATTCAGTTAACCAGCGCCTGCAAGGTGATGGAATCAAGAATAGCAGGATTTATTTGTTATGCTGGGAGATACGTTTTCCATATTTTTTTATCCTTCTTGTCAGTCATGTGCTTGCATGACTAGCTGGGGAATCAGAGACAGCTCTAATGGAAAAGAGAAATTAGGTCATCTGGTCCATCCTCACTGCCAGGGCATGACTGTTCCCTGCAGTGTATCACTTCCCACACAGTTATCTTTCCAACTGTCTTTTGTAGGATGGAAATGCAATTCAGAGTCCCATTTGGCTATGGCTAACAGAGCTTTTGAGGACTTTTTATTTGCACAAAAATGCCTATTGAGAGTCTCAGAGCTAACAATTTTAAATACATTTCAAAGAAAAAAACCCAAATATCAGAATTTGAGTCTCAGTAAAAACTTTTTAATAGAAAAGTTGTGCAGTATTTGGGATAACTGGGGACACTGTTTTCATTCAGACAGGAAATAGTTCCTATGACTCACTTCTACAAATTAAACAATAGGTTTCCTGCTAAAAAAAAAAATAAAATCCAGCAACTAGTTCAGTAAGTAGTTTAGGAAGCAGCCAGTACTCGTGATGCTCTGAGCAAACTCATCAGGAGACTTAGCACTCCTGCTAGCTGACTCTAGGTATTGTACTCCAGGTTGCCTTGATAAATTACTCCAAGTGTTTGGATCCTCATCCTTCAGCAGAGCATCTCTATGTGCAAGCACTCAGACTGTACGGGGCAGGACTGGTTTATTAAGGAAAAAAATGAGTGAATGCAAATGGAAAGGCAGTGATATAACTAATTACACATAAGAAATGACAAACTTCTTCCCTTTCAGCAGTTTTAGCATTACTTCCATGCTGCCTGCAAACAACAATAAGCCCCATCATTTACCCCTTGACTACACTCATCAAGTAAGTCCAATGGTTTGAATTAGTCCAAATATTTCCTTAAGGTTGATCTCGTTTCCCAAAGGACCCGTTTGCTTTGTTTTAACCAGTCAGTGCCACCATGTAGTTTGGTTTAAGGATTCACTTTCTTAAGCTAGGCAGGGATTCTCCAAACTTTGTTCATCTTTGCATTTCCTTTTGCCACCAACTTCTCATCCTTCTCTGGCTTCACATGCTTATCTACATCAGTTCGTCTAGTGATATATTTAGACCATTATCCTTCACTGGAGAATTTTGTTTGCATTGTACCCTGCAACATTTTCCTTGGAGAAGACCGAAGAGCATTTGAGGAACTCAGCAGAAATGCAGGAGTTCAGAAATACGCTCATCATGACAAACTGAGTAATTTCTTCTGTAGAACTCTGGAAAGATCACAACCAGTACAACCTCAAGTACAAGTGCTTTTTAGGTCCCACGAGAGGAACCATAAGATTTTCTTGGTGAAAGATGCCTTTTCCCCATCTCCAACAGAAGAAGTGTTCTCAGATGCTTCCAAATTCAGGAATTACACAAGTTACTCTCCACAGCTGCCTTATTAAATCTACAAATTAATCCACATTGCTTTTCCTTTTGTCTCCAACAAATAAGACTCAAGACTATAAGCAGATGACAAGGTTATTCCACCTCTACTAAAACCCCAGGAGTCATTATCAAGCTTTTATCATGCACATGCATGACAGCACTCTGCATTTCATTATTTTACAAAGTAATTCTTGACCTTGTGTTAAGTTAAATGGGCTTTAGTTAGCATGTCAGGTGTGAGTTCCTAGGGACATGACTTTTCTGCATGCTTGTGTACATAATGCTCTCCACAGCACAGCTGTGAAACTTTACTGTAATAAAATCAATTATTAGATCCTCTCTGACATGACAGTTTTCAATGGTTTTCTTGAAGTTACAGGTTTCTAGATTCCATTTGATGAGGAGAGATGTGATTACTGATGGAAGAACACACTACATTATAGCACTTTTGTGGGTATTCCCCACAAAATGTTCCAGCATTACAAATCCACTGAACAGTTTGTTTTCTTTTTCATTATTTTTCCTATGGCACTCTTGCATTTTAGAGATTTATTACTCAGTAATGAGGCCTACCTAGTTGTCTTGACAACTGAAATTTAGAAAGTAAAGGAATAAAGTGTGAAGTTCCAGAATGCTGATACTGATCTCATTTTTGTATTTGCCTGAAAAAAAATACTGTTACATGTGGAAGGCTTGAGCACCTTTTAAAAACTGAAGCACCTTGAACAAGAACAATCCATCCTTTTCCTTCTGGTTCTAATTGGACAAAAATAGTATTTACAGTTGACCCATCAATCAAGACAGACAAGCAACGTTTCCTGCCAACAACTAATAACTTTTATCTTTTAAGACAGTCAAGTAACAAGTGATCTGCTTTTATAAGCAGCAGCAATTTGGAAAAAGAAAATAAGTCAGTTATTTCTTGCAATGTCAATGCCCATGCTGTTAAAGATCATTCTGTTAAGGAACTAAAATGAGAATTTAGAGATTCCCCCTCTCTCAGCTCTTTTTTCCCTTTGCAACATAGATGTTGTACACACACCAAACCAAAATGCTCCCCTTACCAGCCAAATAATCATTGATAAAATACAAATCTAACTATTGCAGTCCATCTAGAAACAGAATCCCAACTAAAATCAGCAAAACCTTGAGTCAAAGGATGTGCAGCATTAGGACCTGCCTCTGAAAACCAGTTACTGTTACAGATATACCAAAGCTCTGCAATTCCTACCATCCCTGCCTACCACAGAAGGCTCCTGGAGCACACTGATCTATTGATCAACGTTTCTCTCTGTGCAGATCTCCTGACAGCATAATGCTCACTGGATTTTAGCTAGCAGGCAGCACTGACACAAAAACAAGTGGGTATAAAGTGCCTAGGAGTAAGCTATTTGGATTTCTAGCTATCAGCAGGGTGAGGACCTGGAACTGGCTTCCAGTAGCAAAGAAGGAAAAGAATCTAAATATAAGGCTTGACAAAGCTGCTCTGTAGTGCCTGTGATGGGACCGAGTGGGATGTGATGATCTAGGGGGTCTCCTCCAGTCTTATTTTAAGTACATAAACCACAGCACATGTTGTCCCGCTTTGAAGCAAAAGCCTCTGCTTGGTTAGGTTGGCACACTTAAGGCTTCCTTCTCCATTTATATTATTATTTCCATAAATATAGTAATTATTAAAGAAGTTATCAAAGCTGATTTTGAACCACATTCCACAACTCCACCAGAGGTGACCATGCACACTTGATACAGAACAGCACAAGTGTATTGTCTCATTGCTTGTAGAAGAAGGGAGCACCACATACATGGAGCTACAAACCTCTTTTCAGCCTTGACCACAGAAGAGATCCACGATCTGAAGGCTGAACGTGCAAGGTTCCTCTGCACATCCCTGCATCACTGTTTTAAGTGACAATATATTTTAAGCTCTTTCCACTCTGGAGGTAATAGTTAAGAGACAGCAGTGTTTACATTCAATACTGCTTTGACCTATGGGCTCTCTTCCTTTTGTTATTCTCTTGCCTTACAGTGCACTTTCAGTAGTGATCATCTGACTGATCCCACACACTTTGCACCTGAGAGCAGAGGCGATCCCCTGCCTACGAGTACTTTCAAGGTGCAAGAGACAAGAACCATCTGTGCCTTCAAGAACAGCATCTTGTCACCAACATATAGCATGCCCATCCCTTGCTCCAGATCCTCAGAAGGACAGGATGGGAAGGAAGGGCAAGCAACAGAGCATGAGAGTAACTGGAATCTTAGAAACACACTTGTAGGAACACAAGTTTTATAGCAGAGTAGTTTTGAACTCGGTAAGTAATTAAGAGTGGGCCTAGCAAAAGCCATCGTTTTGCTTCCCACTGCTCATTATTTGACCTGTCACAGATGGGATAAAAATTGAGGGAAGGGATAAAAATTGAGGGAAGGGTCAAAATGGAATAGCAAAACTATGGACTAGCAGTTAAATTGCCTCTAGCTGCAACGACTGTACGCAAACTTTCCCAGCAATGCTGCGTTTCTCCTGTTCCACTGATAGAAACGTCAACCATCTCTCAAGCAAAGCTTAACAGCAACAAAGAACCATGAGAGCAACAGGGTTTCTATTTCCACTTGACACACTATTTACTGAGCACTAACATTTATTTAATGCATTTTGGCATAGATACATATTAACAAATATACATACTTTGGACCCACAAAATAAAAACATATTTTGCATTGGTACCTCTAAAACTGATGCCAGTAGTTTGCCTAAAATCATACTGAAGACCTGACCTATGAAAATTGAGTTATATTCTCAAGGTCCTGTAGTTCAACTGGTTAATTCTAACACTAAAAGTGAATTAAGTGATGAGTAAATGCTCACCAAGTACTGGCACCTTCAAAATCAGATAGCAAGATCTTGTTCAGACTATTTATTCCAATCAAATTAGCTGTATAAATGGAATTTAAACCACCTGTGTACTGAAACCATGGCAATTATGCTAATGGGGCAAAACCCAGTTTTTATGGAGGTCTGGATTTTTCAGAAGGGATGAGAGAGCAGCAAATCCTTGTTCCTGTCAGTTTATAAACCAGCCACAAAGCATTCTGCTGCTGCCCAGTTCACACTGGCATAATTTGTTCTGTGTGTAGAAACGCAAGTTGAAATGCAAGTTATTTTGTAATCTAAACTTAATTAGGCTGATTCATATACCCTGTACTACAGAAGCTATAGTATCTCTTACACATGCACAAAATATCTTTGGAAGACTGCGTTATGTGAAGAATGTTATAATGTACAGCTTTGTTACTGCTGTCACTGCTGAGACCAAACTTTATTGCTCCCTTGCCGCAACACATCAGTTTTCTTGATATTTAAGTAATTTAGAGCATAGGAACAAATCTCTCTTCTTCTCTTCCTCCCCCTTACAGGGCCGTAATGAGCCCCTTTTATTGTTTCCAACAGATTTACAACAAATCTGAAATACCCAGCATCTGCTCAGCAATAACAAGATCAGCAGTCAAATGTAATTTGAAGCCAAGGCCTAAGCCCCCACCCCTTCTCCCCCCAAGCAGGTTTTACAAACTTTCCTTTTGTTTCCAAAGTAGAGGGATTTTACAATTATGACGACCACAACAGCAGGAATGAGGATTTAACTAAGTGAAGAGATGGACAACCAAGAACATCATTTGCAATAAAAGAGCTTATGAGCCACTTCTAATGGCATTTACAGAATCTCAGCTTGGGAATTTTTGCACTCATACCAGCTCACAGATCCTATGCTGCAAACAAACTTCCCTTACACAGGCTTGCATATACAGAAATGTAAGTTTTTAAATACTTGATTGCCTAGTTTGAGGCTACACTTTATTAACCAGATATCCTTGGGTCTGTTTATGGATTTAAGGATTTTGGCAGAAGATGGCAAAGGCATTCCTCTAGCAAGATGGAGTCTTCGCAGCGTAGTGGAAAATATCATGGCAGTAATCCAAAGCTGCTACTAACATTTCACCCTTCCCACACTGGCATTTTATTCATCTGAAAGCTGGCCAGGCTATAATTGCTGAAGCTTTCAGCAATCATGTCATCTAGCTACACTCACACGAAGGAGGGCAGCTAGTTCTTGTTACAGAGTCCAGGATGGCAGTCGTAGAAACGGGATCTCAAGTGTGGCATCTGCTAGTAATGCTGGGAATACATTTCAGTTTGTGCTTTTTCTATATATGATGATTTATTGCCCGATCTACTCTCTTGGTCTGACAGGGAAGATAATTTTAAGTGGCAGGAGGCAGACATATTCAGGACATTACTATTACTTTGAAAACCACACTAACACTTAAAACATCAGCGTATTTTGTGTGCTCATGTGAATTCTTATATTCCAAATCAGTATTTCTACTGGCTTTTTTTCTGTTGTGTCTGTGTGTCTAGTCAAAAGCTTTCACCTTCCTCCCACAAAAATCCACCTCCACAACCCCAGACTTACTGCGGTCTCCCTACACTGCTTTGTACTGCACAAAAAAAGTCAGGTGCAAAGTAGCAAGTGTTCTGTTTCACAGAATCATAAAGCAATTTTTCTCCTGGTACAACAAGGAGCCTGCCATCACAAAGAGAATGCTGCAACTAGACTGAGAGGAGGAAAAGAAAACCCTGTGTTTGTTGACATTACTCATTTCAACAAAGACCCTGAAAAATTACAAAACTCCATGTTTGTTGCTCAACTGAGTTATAACACAAACACTTCAAAAGACCGCAACTTAGCATGAAGTGCCATCTCCAATATCATCACCCATCCAGCAGAAGAGTAAGAACTCTCTTTTAATGTTCTGAAAATACTAAGAAGTTGAAATTATTAACGCAGTACTGTGAAGTTTGTTGTAGAGGTTAAGACAGTACCTCTGTCCCACAGGATTTACTGTATAGAACCATGTTCAGCATATGAAAATCTAACCTCTAACATAAGCAGACACCATTGGTTTACAAAGTGTCTTAGATGGCATTGTCAGTTGTGCATCTGGCTTGAAAAGGGTAAGCAGTGCTGGTCTGCCCAGTGTTTCCTCAGCCCCGGCGCAGGTACTCTCACACAAGGTGGAGCAACATTCAACTAGGTGTAAATTATCTCCAGGAGCTGGAAACCGTGTTACTGCATGAGTGTGCCTTATCAGCCTGGGTGTTGTACTTGTAGCGGCATTTACCTGGAAGGGGGACACTAGGCAAAAGCATTTAGAGAATTACAGTCTATTCCTTTTTTGTACCATCATTCTATTCCCCTTTCATTCTCCCTCCCCACCCCTCCAAAACATATAGTTGCCCAAATTCTGGAAGGAATAGCATGAAGAAAGGTGATGCTGCATTCATTATTATTGAAGTTCAAGAGCTGATGTTGCAGTTTCAGGACTTTCTTTTATGCAAAATGTACATGCAATGAACAGGAGACCGCTAGAATTTGCTCAACTTGACAGACATTAGAAAGAGCAGTTAATAAATCAAGCTACACTCTCGATACAAGGACCAGATACTGTTCTGGTACAGAAAACTGGCAGCTCTCTCTTGACAAGCTGCAAAAAGAAGGGAACAAGAGAACAGCGTTAGCTGACAATGTAGCGTGAGCAAAGACAGCATTCCAGAAGACAGCAAAGCAAGCAGCTCCTAAATGAGCAGATACAGCTGACTGCTAACACGTCAGTACCAAAACGTCTTCACTAGAGAGCACTTAGGAGCTGAACACCTTTATGAAACAAATAAAGGATCAGTAACAAATGCATGGGGGAGGGGAAGAAATTATGAAACCAAAACACTGATTAAGAAGCATATGAGTTTATGTAGAATCCTGCCACACAATACTTTGACAGCAATTCAAAGTGACTGCATGAAGAAAATGGATTTGATACAATTATTTTTTAAAGCAATGCATGTCAATTGAAGCACATAACCCAAACAGTTTTATTGTAGGAACACTCACTGTGCACACTCAAAGAATGAACAAAAACATGGAAGGTGGAAGATGTACCATCAGAAGCCTGCAAGGACTAGTCGTATGTCCCTTTTTGTAACACCATATCCTGTCTAGCCAGGACGCTCACAGGAGTTAAATATTTTCAGAAACCCACCAACATGGGACAACAAGAGGTAGAGGTTTAGGAAAAAACTCTGCAGTAATCTAGGGGACAAAGGAGAAACAAGAAATAAAAGAAGTAAAGTATTATTACAAAAAGCTCCAAAACCTGGGGGAAACAGTAATACTAAACACATCCTAGTAACAGAAAGCAGATTATGACATGGCAGTACACAAATTAGCTTTCTAGAGCAGGACAAACTCCCTTACATTACTAAAGGTGTAGCTGGAATACTGTAATAATAATGATGACCATCAATAAAAACAAACAAAAAAAAACAACAACAAAAAAAAAAACCAAAACAACAGGAAGAACGCTCAGAGAACTCCAAGAGATTACAAAAAGTACATAATTTAGACGAGAAGATTTGCAAGCCATGGAAGCATATCAAGGAATTGACTGTGTTTTCTTGGGTCATTAATAAGGTGAAGCCATTAACTCCAGTAGATTTAGTTACCAGGAAGTCCACATGTCAGGTTAACTATTATCCAGGATATTTTCAGAAAATGAGCTCTTTTAAGAGCAGACTTTTTTTAGAAGTATGTATTAAATTTGAGAAAGATACATCTAGCAGAAGATACCTACATTTCAGTTTAGCCCTTGGGTGATTACATGGAATTGTTACAAGTCAACAGTAAATGGTTTATAAAATGTAATTTTATTTAATGTTACTTTGCTGTTACAGAGGGCATAACATTTTCACAAGGCTTTTTTGGGACTACAATCAATGATTAGCAACACACAATAGTGGTCCAAACTCTCTAAGTAACAATCACTGGACAAACTTGACACCTTCTCACATGTGCACAAACCTGCATGGAAAAGTACTAAATTTTAGACTTGGACATGTGAACTTCAATTGGTTTTCCCATTCCAGTGTATTAAGAAATGACATGCACTTTAGTCTGCCAAAAAGCACTGCCTGTACTCCGGCAGTAACATGCTGCTTCTAATACATCATACTAAAGTGAATACCAGAACTACAAAGGCAGGAGTGTAAGTGAAACTTTCACTGGGAAGGGATATCGACTTAAACAGCAGCAACTGAAGATTAAGAGAAGCCCCTGTTTTCGAACACACACGCTTCTGTATTACATGATACAAGAATCAACTCAATTTGTTTTTTCCCAAACTAGAAATGCTCAGCTTGATCTGGCCCAGTACTTCCATATTCCTACTGAAAAGGATACACAGTAGCATGTGAAAGTCAATTATGGAACGGAAACCCTGCAGAATAAGAAGGGAATGTGGAGAATTAAGAGCTATGTGGAACACTCTTTAGTTGCAATTAACTACATTTTCATATCTTACTGTAATACAAAACACAGTCAACTGGCAGGAACTGGTTCAGATTTGTTTTTAAATACCAGGTACACTTTAGTCCGCTACATAAGTGTTTGGAAGTTACTTATGTTTATATGAAATGAAGCTATTAATACTTTTCTACAGCAGTAACCGCACACCAGGAAGGCCAGGACAAACACAAATCAAGGAATGGAGTTTTCCCAAAGCTGCAGTGTGAAAAGACTATAAATTGATTTCCATACACATGGATGGGTTTTCTTTGCTATAGGAAATCCAAGTGGAGCTATAAGGAATGGAGACGTGTAAAAAGGTTTCTTGAGAAGGAAAGGGAGAATGATGCCCCACGTGCAGTTTAGTTTTCTGCACCTTCTGCAGCATCACATTCTTCTCCTGCACTGTCTGATGTCCATAACTAAAAGGAAAAGAAAAACAGTGTCAGCTTTCCAAAGCACAGCTTTAATTCCAAAAAGGGACGACTACTGACTGTCAGAAACAGTAATGTATTGGACTTAAAAGTACAGTCTACAAAGTACCAGTGCACTGTAGCTGTACAACCCTGGCTTACAGTGTGTGCTCAAAGAGGGGCAATTGGAAATAGTTCCTGTGCCCAGAGCACACCTAGCTATGCACCCCAGGTACTGGAGGCAGAATAGTGTTCAGAACAGGTCCAGACTTTGTGCTTAATAGTGAGCTAGGTCATTGATCCCACACCACTCAACAAGTCTGAACACTCATTTCATGAGTAATATCAATTTCAAAAGCAGTGGTCTGAATCCTGAAAGTGAAGATTACCATTTTGGTTACTGAAGCTAAGCATTTTATAGTGCTAATAAAAGACATTCCTACCAAAGGAGTATTGCAAAATAACAGACGTTGCTGGAATTTTAAATGAAGTGGATATCCTGAGGATATTCCCTAAAAAGTTGCCTTAGTTACATATTTTAATAGAATTTAGTGGTTCCAATAGGCACTTTTCTTAAGCGGGTAGTCATTATAAAACATACTGAAGCATCAACTGTTTTTATTCTTAACACATTGAAATTACGTATCTTTTCTTTTAAATGAAAACTGGGAAAACAAATAAAGCAAGTTGCACTGGAGGTACAACAGGGAAGTCCGAGCAAGAATCCCTGACAGACCACAGAATACTATATTTTGACTTCTCATCCATTACCTTGTACGTGCTGAATACACCTTCTCCCCTCCACTGAAAAGGCCAACAAAGAATGAAAAACGTGCTTTCCTATCCAGATTACACAGCATGAAGATGGTGACATCATCTTAAACTACATTCAAACTGAGTTATGAAAAGGGACAGTAAGGTAAATAGCCCAACTCAGTGTTATGTTTTGACCTATAGCTGAATAAGGGCTGTGTTTCATCACAAATTCAGTCTAAAAAAGCAAATACATAGTTACAGAACCAGATAGCACATAAAAAGGCAACTTACTGTTAGGTTGTCTCTAAGCAACTGCATGATGAGAGTACTGTCTTTGTATGAGTCTTCGTTCAGTGTATCAAGCTCTGCAATAGCCTCGTCAAACGCCTAGAATGATTAAACCGTCTTTAGTCTATTAACTGATCATTAAGCAAACAGAAGCTAAACCTATCAGTAAAAAAAAGGAACATGAGAAGTTAATGATCTGCGTTGCTGTTTGAAACAGAAGCATAATAATAAAGCCATAATAAAAGCTTGCTGTGTTGCTGAACATTTAAGTCATATTGTAAATACCTGCTTTTATCCCTTTAATCCCACTAACAAGGTGAGCTTGGAAACCAGATACATTAAATAGGATCATTTCCTGCATAAACTCTAGGAAATAATAATTCATATTATTTTAAGTATAAACTCTCTTCTACTGTCCCTGCAGGCATACAGAAGGAAAAAAAAAAAATCACTTACTGTCTTTGCCAGTGTGCAGGCAAGCTCAGGATTGTTGAGAATCTCATAATAAAATACAGAGAAGTTAAGAGCTAGACCCAAGCGAATTGGATGTGTTGGCTGCATCTCCTTCTTGCTGATATCAAATGCCTCCTGATAAGCTCCCTGTGAGTTTTCTATTGTTTCTGTTAAAAGAATGAGAAACATTAAGGGCTTCATTTATTTGTTTGTTGGGGGGGAATTGGGGGTTTTTAAAGATATTTAAAGTACTCCATTAGTAAGAGACTGAACAATCCTCCATAAGCCTGCTCTTAGTGAAACACTGCACTTACTTACTTTAATCAAGGTAATGATTGCAAATCCATTTTAAGTATAGCTGCCACACTGACAGAACACAGGGAGCAAATTAAGCTACTACAGAGCAAAGGTATTCAAGAGGCAGGTAAACACACAAAAGTTAGTCAATACAGACATCCAAGATGACTGTATCGCCTCAATGGCTTTTGATTCTTTAGGCATCAAAATAAAAGCCAACCCAGAAGTGCATCACTTCTACAGAACATCTGCTTCGTTCTTTGCATAGGATGGATGTGCTTGTGCATATTGAAAGTGGCTACTCTCTGCAGGGCCTTACTTCTTCTTGTAGAAGTTTGGAAGGCATGTACTCCAAGTTCCTGAAAATCTGAAAGTCTGCCTCCAAAACCTGGGTGTAGACAGGTCAAGATAAAAAAATAACAAGGTTGTGCCCCAAATAATTGGGAGAAATACCATAAAAAAAAGGTTACCAGGCTAGAGTAAGTACTTCAAGAGTGCTACTCTTTCAAATTCTCTTCTAATGGACAACCAGAGGTCCCTAACCATGCCTGCAGACTGGAAGGAGACTGCAGGAAAAGAAGCCCATTGTCATAAGTCAGAATACAGCTCTCTGAGGGAGATAATACCATGACTGCTCTAGAAAGTGCTGTAGAAAAGAGTCTGGTAAGTAAAACCTGTTAAATATTCAAAGGAGTCAAAACACAGACTTGGGTTTTTCAGATTCATGCTGCAATGAGTGCTAATGGACTATTAATTTATTGAGAATAGGTGGAAAAAAAGGCAAAAGAATTAACAGACAGAAAGCAAATTGGCTTATAAATACATAAAATATATTTCAAGCTGAGAAAACTGATTGATTGGCTTGGCTTTGTAAATGAAGATTTTTTTAGGTGAGGCACAGCATGCACAGAACTGGCCCCACCCTTTACACCTAAGGCTTCAGGTGAGAAAATAAACAGATGCTTAGAAGCAGAACATCAGAAAAGCTTCAAATGAAACTCCTAGATGCTTGCGAGAAGTCGAGCACAGAATGTATGCACAGTAAGACACATAAGTTCTAACTTCCCAGCAAAACACCAAGATCTGATAATAAGGTTATCAATCAGTGCCTCTTCCACAGTTAAGTACCCCTGTCAGCATGCGTATCACTTTAAACAGTCTTTTTAGCCAAGATAAGCTGGGATTTCTCTGCTCAGACAAGTCCATAGATTTGTAACTGCTGCTAGAGACAAAGCATGAATCAGATTATCTTTGTGAAAGCTAAAGATGGAGTTGTCTCTGCTCCAGCTGGACCTGCTGTGGTCATTCGAATCAGGCAAAGGGTTAAGAATTTCTGAATGCAACTTGTAAATGCAAAGATTTTTCTTCCATTTTGTATATTTTCATCTCTCAACTTAACTGCTCCTAAAATACAAGGAGGCTAACAAAGCCTTTATTGAAACAACAATCAGCCCTGTCCTCCCACTTTGCAATTCAATTGGTTTAAACCAGCTAGCACTGCCAGAGGCCAACCATGCCCAGCCCAAAGGGACAGTCACTTCAGCCTCATCCTGCTCTTAACAGACCATATACTTTGTGTCACGGCATCACTCCAGGGCTAGTTTTAGTTTAGTTATGTAGAAACATATCACTAGCTTGTGCCATACCAAGAGTTTAAAATCACAACAGCATCTGGGCACCTTGCAAGACAGTTCTAATACATCCTCTGAACAGAGTTAAAATCCTTTCCAGAAGAGCTTCCTGAGGTACTCAGAACCACCTAACTTCTAGGAATGTTCTGCATTCTCAGGATGCCCAGAACGAAGTGACAGTACCAGCTGTGAAGTTTTCCAGGCCTTTTCTGCTGGATCCAAAAGAGCAAACTAAAATTACAAGCACAATGTTATCGCTGTGAACATCAACCATTTCAGAATGCAGCTCACACTTCTTTGGGTAGTGTACTGACCTAGTAATTTTGTTGCTTCTTTATAGGCTAAGGTGACTACAATGAAGTCTGCCTCACACTGAAATGATTAAAACTAACAGATTAACAGGACTCCATCAAGGAGTTAAAAATGTTGGAGAGCTCTGTTTACTCTTCCTCACCAACTTTATTTTAGTAAAGAAATACAAACAAAATCAAATATGTTAGCAGACCTTCACCTAAATTATTTTCCAGAAGCTCTGAACAAGCATTATGGAACAACTATCCAGAAATTTAGGGTAGAAGACAGACACACCACCTAAAACTCCCTGACACACTGTGCTCAAAGTCTATTCTGAATTTAACTCTGTCTCTATAAACACTGAAGATTTCCAACTCAAACATAGTTGTTCCCACTCAGCTAACTCAAGTGAATTCACAATACAATATTGGCATATGGACTTCATTTACTGTTCCCTCACCCATGGTCCAAAACTGACATTGATCAGCTTTTAAAGACCCAAAGACCACGAGGTACTTACGTTTTCTGTCATCACCACAGGCAACTTCAGCAAGGTATCGGAAGTAGTCTCCCTTCATCTTCAGGTAGAATACCTTGCTCTCTGGATTAGTTGCATTAGCTATTAAATATTTGTCCAGCAGCTCCTGAAAGAACAACAACAAAAAGACATTGACATATTGCGTACACCCTTGCAACCAAGTTCAATCTATTTTATTTCTCTCCAGAAAGTTTGGCTGGACCCGAATGCTTGGTACAAAGGAAAAATCAGTTTAAAGGGTATTTTACATAGATGCACACTTATTTAAACAAACTGTGTTACGGTACAAAGCTGGAGACTACATTAACATGATCAACCATCCGATCAGACTGCATAAAAAGTAACAAGTAAAGGTTTACTAATGATAGTTTCAGGACCAGGTTTAGTTTCAAAATGTGCACTTCTATTTTCACAAACATTGTTGCAAATGAGTAAGCTCTTACAGGAAAAATGAAACATTATGCAGAAAGTTTCAAAGCTATTTATAAATAACTTATCCCCTCTTCACAGGAAAAAGTAAGAAAAACAACTCAATTGTTTTTCATATAGACTGCGTTCATTAGACTTGTGATAAGGAATCTCCAGCCCACCTACCAGAGACAGACAAGGCTTTGAACCTGTCTAGACAGAAGGAAGCCTCACTAAACTGTACCAGCTCTTTGTAAGGCTGTAAAGCAACGCTGGCTCCAGCATAGCAAGCAAGGAGGCATCCTTCCTGCCTGCCCTGCTGCTCCCAGGAATGGGCAGAACTATACAGTGCCCCCAAGAACACCCTGAGCTGCTGCTAACATCACTCCCCCTGCTCACAGCTCCCCTACCCAATAACAGGACAGGGAAGGTTTACAAGCCTCCATCAAGAGGAGATAAGTCTCTCTGCAAGACCTCCTAGCCCTTCCAAAATAGGGGTGAAGGACAGAAGAGGCACAGGATTTTCTCTCAGCAAAGGGGGTACTTCAGAGAACGGACAAGGAGGAAAGCAGCTTCTGACTGACCTCTATGTCCCTCAGCCACAGTGATTTCACCCAACACATTACCACAACCGACCTATGTTCTCCGGAGTTGACAAAAAGCTCCAAAATAGACTCAAGGAAACCCTGCAATATTGAGAGCAACTTTAAGAATTTAAGTGATAAAGATGTGCATTCAGTTACTTGGAAAATAAACAGGTCATAAAAGCAGCAGAAAGTTTCCACAAAACTTGCAAACTGTGGCTAGTTGAGATTTTTGTTACAGAATATATATCCAAATTCATGAAGCGCCTACAATGAAAACATTTAAGGAACTGTAAACTTCCAGGCCAAAACCCCTCAGCATTTTAATTAGCAACTATAGCACTATAATTAAAATGAGCTAATTTTAGACACCAACCTACTCCGTATGCATACCACTGCACCATTATTGCTTCCTTTAATAATCAACAGTAGCAGAGCAATCCAGCTCAAAGTGTTTACTCATTCCAAGCCCACCAGAGGGGCTGACAGTTATTTTAAACCAACACTTGTATCAGGGTACTTGCAACCAGGTGAAAAAAGGACTTTTGACTCCACAGACAGGGTGCTTACCATGGATGTAATACTGCACAGCTCCATAGACAAGCTCCCTTCAGAGATCCCCCTTACGAAGGCATAAAGAAACAGTAGAGTTACGAGTGCTCTTATTACCACCCCAGAGAAAGCAGCAGGAGGGCAAGATGATACAGAGCCCGACATACCTATCCACTTACCAAATCAGAAACAGACATTTTTAGGACTTTCTGTAAATCTACTAAGCCACTGCCAAAGATTAAACACGGGCTAGTATGGCCCAAGGCTAAGCAGGGAATTTGTGTAACAGTTTAACACAGTGATGTAGGCAGGGGCTTGAGCAAGTGTATGAAATGGTACACCTTCCTGTGTTATGGAAAACACAGCAAAACCGTAGATTTGTTTTGAAACAAGAGTTAAGACATAGTAGGCAGATGGGTAATACAACCCCGTATTAATACGGTTATTTTGCATGAGTCATTCCCATATTAGAATAAGTTATTTCCACCCTACAGGTTTCTGCAATGAGAAAAACTTCAGAGTTTGGATCAATGTTTTTCGGATGCTTTTCTCCTATGACAGATGTCAACAGCAGCCGTAGAAGGACAATACTACCCAACCAGTTTCAAAGTCTCAGAGATAACAATGCAGGAACGTCAATTTTAACAGAGAGACTTGATTTTACAAGAAACTGCCCTGAATGATGAAAGTCAACATGTAGGACACCTACATGAGAAAAGGTTCTTTAAATCAGTCACGACCAAAGAGTAACTGTCAGCTTCTAAAGGCCATCGTAAGACTGCATTAAACAGCAGAGATGTGACTTATGCATGTGCTCACATTCGATGTGAGAAACTATGCCACAAGCTAAGGAGCACTGACCAGAAAACCAAGAAAGATATGTTGTATGGGATTTAAAACCAGGTATTTGACAAAACTGTATCTCTGTTTTTTCTTTTAAATGCCAAAATAGAACTTTTCAAAATGTTACAACTACATCAACAGGGGAACAAACAAGCATTTTTCTTTTATGCCTTCCAAAACCTAAAGATTTATTGTAAACTTAGCACACAAACAGTATTACTGGTCTTATTACAAAATTCAGTCTTTGGAGGTAGCTTTAGCAGTAAAGTCCCATGTGTAACTGATGTGGTTATGATTTCAACATACTAGGACCCTGGAATCTAGCGTATACCCACTTTTTTTCCTTTTTTTTTTTTTTTTTGGTCAGATGGGGTAGGCCACACACTTCTTCCAGAAGCACGAGTGATTTTGCCAAGGCCTCAACCTTACTGCAAGAACATGGTGCTGCGTCCTCTATGTAAGTGAATCTTCAAAGTGCTGCCTCCACTCTGCAGGCTTGAAATCCAGTGGTTCTGTGCAGATTTCTGAGAAACTTTGGGAAACAAGTGGATGCTGGGAGTGAACTGTAGCTTTACAGACAGCAAAGAGTGGGTTGCAAACACTGCTTTGTTTCCTAGGCACTCCTCAGCTGGAGGAGCTGAACTGCCCTGTCAGCAGCTCCCACTCCTATATCTCAGGGGCCTCCTAATCCTTACCAGAGCACATGATAAGGGAGAGATCTGTGTGTGTCAGCTCAGGTGAAACACATTCATGCTGGACTTTATGTATCTGGTTTTGGTTCCATTTAGGACTATTAAAAAAATACCTCATTTATGAATCACATAGAACAGAATACAAACAGACTTCGAGTAAAACTATTCATTTATCCATCTGGATGTTACCTTTCAAATCAATAATGTATTTGGTATACTTAGTAAGCCATTCATGTCAGGGTATCATCATAATTTCCTGGAAGGTACCTTACCCTCCTGCTAATGGACAAAATGTTGGTGAGGCAGCAATAGCAGACAGCACAATAATGATTTACTGAATGATTTACTTTAAACTGTTATGAGTCATTAGTAGTCATGAAAACTCAACATTTCCTACATCTATTCTCTGTCTCTCCCCACTTGGGCTTTTCTGCCTTTCCATTAGACATCCATCAGCCAAGGAACCCTCACTTTAAACATCAACTGAAAGCAGGTAAAATGCATACAGGCAGCCTGAGCAGTGAAGCAGAGCTCAGCCAAACTTAAGATTTATTATGATATATTTTACCTAAAGAGAGACAGGCACTGCCACAGGTACAATATGTGAAGTCAGCCAATACAGCAGACTGCCATTCATGTTCATATACAGCAAACGTGCCCACCCCTTTTCTTTTTTTTTGGGGGGGTAGGGGTGGTAAGAAAAAAGTTATATATCAAAATACAGTTGCCACCATCATCAAGAACTGTGACTGTTCTTATCACTAAACCAGGTTAAACCAAGACCTGTACAACCAGCAATTACTCGCCCTGCAATGTCAAACATGCTTCAGACACTGCCATGAAAAGCCACGCATGATGTTTGAGCTGCTGGTGGGTGACTCTCAAGCAGTAATCAAACACTAGGAATCAAATGCAGATCAAGCCAGACCCTTCCTGCCCTGGTGCAGCTACATTAAGACAGGTTTATACTGTGGCAGTTTGTGACTGGTATCTGCTACTTCCCCCACATAGATATATTATTCTCAAGAGGCTGGTCCTGAGGTAGTTGGATTTCCCACCTCACTGCTCATTTTTTCTTCTCAATTTATTTCTACCTTCACAGTATGCTAACACTCGTGACATCCTTACAGCATCATATTCTCATATATGGTGCTCTTTTCCTCTTCTACAGAAAGCAGGCTTATTTATTTATCTATTAAAGAGGTGGCAGCAACAAAGGGCTACCAGTCCCTGGAAGAGATGCACCAGTGTCTGAAGGAACCATGGGGAGTGGGCTGGGAGCTAGCGGCAATTCACTCCTTTAAAGCTGGAATGACTATTTTTTATTTTTCACTCCATTAGCAGACTTACTGCTTTACATGCTAAGAGAAGTTACATTTCAATTGCCTTTCTGGATCCTTCTCCAGTTCTACTTTTGTTCCTTCCCAACTAAGTAACTGTCCTTTCTTAGTCTCTTTTCCCCTCTGCTTAAGTAGGAACAAGGGCTGAACATGCGGCTGTAGTATCAGTGTACTGCAATTAATCTGAGCCAGAAATACTGTTTAATTCATCTGCTCTCATCCCTTCCCCATCATTTCGGCTTTATGAAAAGCAAGCCCTGAAGGAATATGCCAGACATATCTTCCTTGAAGTGCCTGATACAAAGAAGCTCCCTGAAGACACAGCTCCTTCATAATTGTTTGTTGTGTATGCTTCCAGCCAGCCTCTCCCTACACATCCCCTGCAATTCATGGACCAGTCCCATTCCTTGTAAGCATTCTGTTACCTGTTTTCAAGACAACCCCTTCTTTTAAAAGCTGACATCAAAACAGAAAGTCCCACCAACCTCCCTCATCTCAGCCTATTTTAAAAGGCAAGCCTGATTGAGACGTCAAGTTCAAGCAGGGTACACCAAATACCTTCTGGACAATTTAACTATGTGGTAGGTTCAAGTGGCAGAGAAATACCACCGATATCTGATCTGTGCTGTTCTCTCTTCCCACATGTTCAGCTACAAAGAATCTTCACAGCAAAGATGAAGTACAGAA